GAGTAGAGTCTTTCAACTGGACTATAATTTGTTTTATTTGGAGTATTTCTCCAATGTAAAATACTATACCAAATATCTCGCCTGTCCTCAATAGCTTTCTTTATTAACCTCTTCGCTATTTTAACCGCTGATTCTGCTTTTCCGTTTCCTTTTGGATGGTGTGGAGACGATGTTGTATGTTGTATTTCCCAGCTGTTACAAAATTTTCTAAATTCCACACTCGCAAAATTCGTACCGTTATCTGAACATATTTTTTCAGGTATTCCATGTCTGCTGAAATTCATCTTACAACATTCAATGAGTGTTCTTGGAGTTAAATCCTTTAATAAATCCAATTCGAAATAATCCGAATAATGGTCAACTGTAACTAAAAATTTTCGTACTTTGTTATTCAGTTCTTGTGTAAAAACGTCCATTGATATAAATTGAAATGGGTAGACTGGAATTTCATGTGAATTCATTTCTGATTGTTGTTGATTGTTATGAAATTTAGCACATATGTCACATTCTTTTACTTTATTAATTATTTCTGTTGTCATACCAGGCCAGAATAAATTTCGTTTAGCTAGTTTTACTGTTGACTCAATACCATTGTGACTTAAATCAACTTTTTCAAATATAGTTTTTCTCAAATTATATGCTACATATTATTATTCTATCATTTTTGAATAAAATTCCATCTTGCACTGATATTTCGTGTTTGTACTGGTTGTATATTTTTATGTCTTCAGGAATGTTTTTCATTACAGATGGCCAACCATCTGTAATAAATGTTATCATTTTTTGTAAAGTTACTAGCATCACATTCCAAAATCACAGGTTTTTTTGTGTTGTAATATTTTAAAGGTTGAACATTTGAAGCAATAGCACACTCACCTTACAGACAAGAAATTTCCTAATATATCCTAATATCCTGGGTTGTGAATGGGTTGTAAGGAAGGATATGTAATATTATGAGTCTTACGAACTGTATATTATTGACGAGAATAATGTATAATCATACTTATTCAATAAAACTATTATTATTATTATTAAACAACGACATCGGTTTGTTTTGGTGTCGTCGGATTGCACAAAGAAAGATTCGGGTTACATTCGCAAGCCACATGATTTTACCACCATGAATTTTTCAAATCTGGGTGCGGTTTAGACTCGAGTGCGAATAAGATTCGAGAAAATACGGTAATAACTGTAAAACTAACTACTACTAATTGCCCTAAAGAAATTAGTCCGAGCTTCTAAGTTTTTTTAATGCCTCCTTAAATGCTCAAATTGCCGTCCATCACGTTCTATGCATTGCTAGAGCCTCTGTTGCGTGGAAAAAAAACTGCGCCTTCATTTTCGGCTCTTGGTATGTTGAGAATGGCATTCCGAATCCCATTTTCCATGTCTTTTCTGGTTGTAGGTTGAGTTTGAAATACTATGTCCTTTAACGAGCCCCATAATTAAAATCCAAACAAGTTAAGTCTGGGAATCTGAATCATATAAACAGGCTTCCTCTTCCGATCCATCGTTGGTGAAACACTGCGTTTAGATGGTCTTTCACAATTATAGCAAAATGTGCCGGACAACCGTACCGTTGTGACAACAAAGTTTGTAGTCTTTCCAATTACATCTTCTATCAAAATCGGTAATTGATTGATCAAAAATCTAGAAACTCGTTGCCATTTAGTGATTGAAGTAATGTGGTCCGATAACGCTGCCTCTCAGGATGCCACACCACATATTAAGACTCCAACGCCCTTAATGTTGAATTTCGCGTAATTAACGAGGATTTTTCGTAGACTAATTATCTGTCCAAAGAATTTTCAGATAAAAATTTTCTATTTTCATTTATCATACCTAATATCCAATAACAATAATCCAATTTGCAGTCAAAATCTCATTCATTCAATGCCTGGTGTAAAAGTACATTGTGGAACATTCAAGGGAACCTATATTTTCTAGCGTTATTAGAAATTATTATATGATCCTTCAAAATATTTAAACAGTATGATGAGACATATTAATATCAAAAAATTCTATCACAAAAAATGGATTAAAACAAAAAAAAATGTATTTTATAATGAATTTAAGCGACTAAGGAGGTTGTTAAAAAATGAAATAAACGACAGTTACATGAAGTATCTTCACAACATACAAAATACCATCAAGACGGATCCGTCCAGTATATGGAATTTTCTCCGAGCTAAGAAACGTACCACAAGAATACCCTGTAATCTGATTGATNTCTTAATTTTAAAAAACATATCAATAATGTGTGTTCGGAGGCCTTTAGGTCCCTAGGTTTTGTGATGCGTATGTCTAAATATTTCACAAGTGTCAGCTTATTAAAGACCTTGTATTGTGCTTACGTTCTGAGTAAGTTAGAATACGCTTGCCTGATTTGGAGTCCCTTATATGCATGTGAGTTCTTAAGCCTTGATCGAGTCCATCGTAGATTCTTAAAATTTCTTTCTTACAAATCTGATGGAATTTACCCTGAGCGAGGTATACCACAAAATGATTTGCTTGCACGACACAATATGGTTTCCTTGATGGACAGAAGAAACGCGTTTTATGAAAGGTTTCTACAAAAGCTTATCGAATATAACATCGTTCATTCATTCTTGAGCGATTAGGGTTTGTTGTTCCAAGGAGTAACTCAAGATATAGCTGCGTATTCGTCATTCCTTATGCTAAGACAAACATTATGAGAAGGGCGCATTATGAGTGGGCAACAGGATTCCAGTGAATCAGTGATCACCTGCATGTAAATTCTCTTATACATGTAAATTCACTTGTTTAATTTTTATTTTTATTTTCTTTATAATTCGGTCAATTGCTAATTTCTTGAATTTTTTGTAATTTTTGTTTTTTTTTTTTCACAAACAGATACATATTATTGTATTATTACATTATGTAATATATATTGTTATCCTTTTTTGGGCTATGCCTGTTGGGTAATAAAGGANTTAGACAATTTCAATAAGAGTACCTTTTTTATGTAAAATTGAATGCTCTTTGTGATTTGCAGCTCTTATTGGTCGTAGCTGTCGAGCCAAAAAACTTATGATTTGATTTATCAAACGAGCAGCGTGTATCTAGCGCCCTCTACGAGCAATAAGAAAACAAGTTTCAAATTCGTATTTCTCATGCTCGAAACCATAAAACTACCAAATTTTATGTTAATAGTACAAAAACCTTCAAAATTATCAAGAAATTTCGAAATAAGAATTTAACTTTCAACACCCTATTCCTCGAAAACCACTGACATTTGTATAAGAGATGTTACGTTAAATCATCATGTTTTGGTGTCTAGTATCTCCGGTATTCGGATTTCCCATTCTTTCTGACTCACCTGTATATACAGGGTGTCACACAAAAAACGCCCCAAGCTGTAACTCTGTTATTTATATTCCGATTTTCATGACTGAGGCATCAAATAAAATGGTTTGATGAATACTATGGTTCATGCTACAAATAAATTTTTTTCAAGGCCATCTTCAGTTTTAAGCGATTATTAACTTTTGTTTTTCAAATTNAATAAAATTTCGCATATAAATTTGTTACATAGGGTGGGGAACTGGCCCACCGTTAAAACGCCCCTGAAATCCATCCTGCAGTTGCCCCAAGCTAAGTTTGAAAATAATTAAAACGTTTTAAAATTTTACAAAATAATTTAATGTTTTGTTTGATATACTAGTTTTAATATAACCGAATAGGTGTTTTATAATTTTTACGTAATATAACAGCATTATTTTTCTTGTTATATTAATATTTAATTTAAAAAAATCGTTACAAAAAAATATTGAAATGTTGACAAAATGGGGCGTTGTTTTTGTTTTAATCAAAAGAGGTCAATCATTTCCGGCATACATCAAAGGTCGACAAAAAATACAACGAGAAATTTAAATAATCCTTTTGTGAACAGAGTTTTTTGGAAAGGTAATCGGAATTTATGGATGTTCTGTCGATGGAATTTCAATCGAAATTATTTATCGTCTTTGTTACCGTTTTGTAAAATTTATTTTTATTTTACAATTTCATCCAATCAGTTAATGCAGTTTTTTTTTATTTTTTACCAATTTGAACGTTACATTGGAAGTTTTGATTGGCACAATTTTCAAGTGTTAATATTACAATTTTTTTTAGGTACACGTGCGCTTTTAACGAGACCGGGTCAAAAAAAAGACGATATAGGCGTTGGAAGAACAATGATCGCCGGTGCAATAGGAGGACTTATTTTCTGGACCGTCACATATCCGGCGGATGTTGTAAAATCACGTGTACAGATTAGTAAAAAAACGGCGACAAAAGGATTGGTTGGAATGCTTTATCAAATCGGTAGAAATGAAGGTGTTCGTGCTTTATACAGTGGATTAACTCCCACTTTGGTACGAACGGTTCCGGCTACTGCCGTTCTATTTCTTACCTATGAGTATTCAAAGAAAGTTTTACACCAAATATTTTGACAAATTTTCGTTTTTTTCCGGCTGTTTACACCAAAGATAATTATTTATATGTTTTTAAATTTTGTATTGTTTAATATTTTTGTGAACGGAAATAATAAAATGGTTTTATTTAGAAGGTGATTTATTTAAAAGAAAAAATACAATTAATTAATTTTTAATTTTTTTTTATAATTTTTTAATTTTCTAATAGAGTGGATGTTTTTTCTAGATGTATTCGTCTAATTCTTCAACGGTTTTTGTATTGACTTTTGGGATGAGAGAATCCAACCTTTGAGTGTTAAGTTCCTTTAAAAGAAATGATATGAATTATTAATTAATTTACATGAATTATTAAATACTTACATATTCATTTAAGTATTTGTCATTTAATTGATAATCACGCGGCCTAAAACAACATTTTTTTAATAGAAACAATTTCGATTTATTTTATAAGTTTTGTTGTTCTTAGCTCACCTCGGTTCCTCCAACAACGGCTCCAATTTCTGCAGGTCTCGTTTGCTTCCGGCAGCTCCCCTACATCTCGGTGCAAATGGCCGAGTCCTAAGAATAACAAAAACCGATAATTGAAAACCGAAACTGTACTTCAAAGAAATCCTTTTTTTTCTTTTTGTTCTTATACCTGCAGAAATATTCTCCCGACCACTCGCGGTGATCTCGTAGTTTACCAGCGCAGCACAATAAACCCGCTGAGAAAACCATTAAGAGAACTAAAGCTATTCTTAAAAAGTTCATTTTCAAACGACTTTTTTCTGAAAAAGAAAATGAAAATAAAGACCTTTAATTTAGTCCGAATATAAAGTAAGATTTTCGCCTTTACTTAATTGTAATTAAGTGAAAAACAAAAACTTTAAAGCTGAAAATGGCAATCATCTTTTGCAATTTAAATTATAATCCGTTTGAAAATTATAAATGCATAATTTATTCGTGCATCCAGAATAAACTTTATTCTCGTTTCATCAAAACCAACTAATATTTCAACGAACCGAGGCTTTTTTCGATGGTTTAAAAACCCACTTAATATTCTTTTGATCCATTTGAAAATAACAATTTTTCTAAATAATAAATATTGTTTGAAAAAAAAAAAATTAGATTAAACGCAAGAATTTACACCAAGAACAAACGAGATCCTTTTTTAACCCAGATTTTTTTTAAAGAGTGTAATTGCCCCGGAAACGTTCCTTTGTTACGAAAAATATTGCGACTACCACACACCGAAGGAATTTTTATTCGCTCCCGTGGAAAATTTTTAATTTTACGCGATCCTTAAATTCTCGTTCAATAAATCGAATTTTGTCCTTAAAAACGATTTAAAAAATTAATTAAACTCTTAACACGAAAACAGATCTAAATTAATTAACTTTCGCGTTACCAACGGAGTATGAAAGGAATTGTTTTTTAGGAATAAAATGTTGAAAAAAACAAAATTTATTAATTTAACTTTGATGTAATCGTAAAATAATGATTCGTAAACCTTCCCGGGGGTTTTTCAGGTACCCCACTTGGCTACAATCATTAAGTTTTCATGATAAATTAACTCCAGGATTATCCAACTCATCAAATTAAAAATTATTTATTCAAGAAACAATTAATTAATTATCGTACCCGACGTCTTCATTGCAACTATGCAACCACGTACGCAAATCGCGTATTGCAATACCAGTACTGTGATATTGGTTGCATACTTGCTATGATGACGTCGGGTACGATAATTAATTAGCACACTGTACTTGGAACGTTAGAACTATGGCAAGAGGAGGAAAAGTAGACAACGCTAGTAAACATAAATATAGTACAAATACAGGGTGATTCTCAACCTATACGCATAAACTTCGGAATTTATTCCTTATGCCAAATAATTTGTTTTATGTGGTCCGTGATGAAGCTCATTTCCATATCTTAGGTTGTGCTAACAAACAAAATATGCGATAGTGGACCGATATCAATCTAAGGGAACTCCATGAGAGGTCTCATCATTCGTATTGTGTCACAGTTTGGATTGCGATATCAAGAATAGGGATTATTGGGCCACATTTTTTAACATGCGGTGTGTTATGTAATTTAGCACTGCATGTGGTGCACTAAATTCGTTCGTGTTGTGGTGATTAGGGATGGTATTAGGATGGCGCACCTAAATGTGCAATCTGTTTATCCTAAACCTATTGATGACTTGGGACAGTTGATAAATACTAATAAAATAGTAATAAATTGGATATTCTTTCAATTAGTGAAATCTGGATAATATGAGAGATAACATGTCCACAGTGTTTACTGAATCAAACTGCAACTTGTCCATATAATATGAGTTACGGCTGAAGTTACAGCAGAGTCTATGTGCTTGCCATGTACTTGTTGACAATTTGTGTTGTTTTTATCAAACCAGTGATAAGACGACGAATTGGTTCATAAGGAACATCGATCTGTGTTACAATAATGAATGGAATATTAGTGAAAGAAGTGTCTGATAGCGGCAGTAAAAAACGGCAAAGTATTAAAGGAAAAGCGAGGTTAAAAAAGAAGAAAGCAAGGTAAATCTTACTGCTAACCCCGTTTTGTACATTTTGATTGTGGATTTCATTTAAGGTACAAACCAAAAGACCTACACATAGAAAGGTGGATTGTCAGAAAGTGTGTACATCCAGTGATGGGCGCAGGGTAAATACCCGGCGGGTAAGTATTTCTAAAATGGGTTTTTTTATCCGGGTATTTACCCCGGCCCAGAGTAAATACCTAAACAGTGCGTATAAAAGTGCTACCAGTGAAAATATATCAGATTCAAAAAAAAAATGAAGAGGAAAATGATGAAATGAACGTTGAAGACGTGGAATTGTCAACAATCAAAGACGTATCATCAGACGAATCTGTCGTAATTTAGATTAGATCAAGGTATTATGATTATTATGATCAAGCAGCCCTCTGCGTCCATTGTTGGACATAGACCTCCCCTAGTCTGTTCCATTCGATTCTATTCTGTGCTGTCTGAATCCAATTGTTGGTCATTCTTTTGACGGCTACTTCGTCTATTCGCTCGCGGTTTCCTCTCAAGCAATCGTTTTGTACACTGCTCATTCTTTATTCGCGCGACATAACCCGCCCAGTTCCACTTAAGCTTTGCCACAATGTTGACCACATCATTTACGCCAGTTCTTCTTCATAGGTCTTCGTTTCGTATGTAGTCCCTCAGAGTTACATCCAGGATCGACCTCTCCATCTATCTTTGGGTTACTTGGACCCTCCTGGCAGTGGATACCAGTGATGTTAAAGTTTTGGAGCCGTATGTCATAACCGGAAACACGCTTTGAATGAAAGCCTTTCTTGGCCTTTTCTCTTGAAGATGTGTCTAATCCATCCGTTTAAATAATGATCCTTCCGTTTAGTTCGCTTGTTTGATTATCTCTGGATACACGAACCTCATAGCCAAGATATACATAGATGTCAACCCTCTCAATCTCATTATCCCCAATGTTGATGTTAGAGCTGGGAATAAGATTTGTCATAAATTTTGATTTCTCCTCGTTGATATTTAGCCCGACTCTTGCACATACTCCTTTAAGTCCAAGGCTATCCGAAATAAGAACTATATCGTCCGAGTAGCGCAAATTACTTAGGCATTTGCCATCAATGTTTATGCCTTTTTGGGTCCAATATAGTTGTTTAAATGCACTCTCCAGGACTGTGATGAACAATTTGGGTTCAACATTATATCGCTTTGTTTTACTCACAATTAGTACTTTACTACTTCTACTCTCTTGAATGCATTTGCAATGTATTTTGATGTATTTATAAATGAACAATGGCGCCTGGCGTTCTGAAGCAATAATTTAAGATCAGAATTAATTCGAAGTTCGGACATGCCCAAGTCTCTCCCATCAAAGCCGAGGTATATTTTAGTATCATCAGCATACATGTGCGTTTTGCAATGCTTTAGATTGGAACAGAGATTAATAGTGTAAATTAGGTATAATATTGGTCCCAAGATTGATCCTTGAGGTACACCTGAAGTAATATAACCTCTCTTCGACAAAACATCCTGAAATTTGCGAACGATGTAAAAAATAGTTTTTGAAAAAATCGATAGCCAACGAGGAGAAACCAACATAATGAAGCACAGCAAGTAAAGTCAAATGATGGAGGGTGTCAAACGCCTTAGAAAAGTCAATTAGGATGAGAGCCGTAACATTTCCCTCATCCAATCCACGAAAGATATCGTCGGTCACATTCAGAAGAGCTGTAGTACAGCTGTAACCAGGACGAAAACCAGACTGAGTAGATGGAACTAAATTAAAAGTATTAAGATGATTACAAATCCATACAGCCGCAATCCTTGGAGACACCAAGGCAGTCTTCCATTGATCAGGAAAGACACCCAGCTCCAGACAAAGATTGACAATATGGCACAAATACAGAACAATCACAGGGCAACACAGAAGTAACATCCTTACGCTAATGCCATCACTTCCAACTGCATTGGATTTAATAGATTGCAGCGCACGATAGATTTCGTGTTCCGAGGCTAAGGAAAAGGATAAGGTAGTATAGATCTGATGTAGAATATTAGAGTTGTAGAATTTAATAAGCTCTGCATCACCAGAGTTAGTAATTTGAGAGGTTAAAAAAGAATTGTTAATTAAATCAGCATCACCAATGTTGCTAGGAATACTACCAGTCCTATTACCGCCAATCCCTAAAGTCCGAAAGGCACCCCACAATTGCCTGGAATCACCACCCCTGCATATGTGAGATAAAAAACCTTTTTTTCACGTTGAAGTGTATTATTGGTGAAATTACGCAGTTCTTTATAATAGGTAAAATCAGAAGGTAGTCTGGAAGCCTTAAATGACTTATAGTCTTTATCCCTCAACTTCATAAGCAGCCTAATATTGTCAGTAACCCAAGGGCGTATAAAATCAATCAAGGTAGCGGAAGAAAGGGTGATCCGTGTTGGACTCGATATAACTTGATGAAGATTAAACTGCTCAATGGTAGGAATAAATCGATTACCATAAAAGCCATCAACATCTAAGCCATTGATGTTAAAATCACCTAAGCTGACAAGTTCCTCAGAAGATGGAGCAAGATAGGATAGGACATCTTCAAAACGCGAGAGAAATTCACCCAAACTTCCATGAGGTCGATAAACAACACCAATCACCATGGAAACAGGAAAGTCAATAAGTTCAATCCAAAGATGTTCTATAGCAGACGATATTTCTTGAAATAAAATATTATATTTCAGTATCGATTTAATGTAAAAGCCAACTCCACCCCCCGAACCTGCATTGGTGTGACTACAAGGACGCAATCTACCAGCAAACACGGATTGATAACCATTAATTGAATATTGTGAAGTAATTGTCTCAGTATAAATCCAAGTTTCAGATATTGCAAAAATATCGAAGTTCCCATCGACAATTAAATCCTTAATATCTAGAAAATGAGCGGGTAAAGAACGAACATTTAAATGAGCATTTTTCATTATTGATCAGTTACAGATAGTACTATAGAAACAAAGGAGAACACTAGGAATTCATCAATTTAATTGTTAAAATTAAAATATAAAATAAAACAAAGAAACCCTTTAATATAATTTACTCAAAAAAAAGAGAAAAAAAGAAAACAAACTCAACCGAGTTGACAGTGTAAATATCATAAGGTAATGTTTCTATTCACTACAGATTGGAATGTATGCATTTTTATTATTCATTTGAAAAGCGAGTCACCTCACTTTTACATCAATGCGGTTCGAATTAAACT